AGTGTCTAATTGTATCTTCCAATTTTCAAACAACTTTCTAAGCTTTGCAACACTTCAATGGAACAGTATTTAGACAGTACCAAAATTAGGATTCGCAATTGCCATATCAATTGAGAAAATTTTGAAAGATTAGTTAAAAAGTTGGTAAATTGAGAAAATGAAAGAAATTCGCGAAAAGTTTTCAAAACAAAAATCATTCAAGTCCCACAAAGGCTTCAGAAGGCAAGTAGTTTATTTCTTCACTAATTTGAAAAATTTTAGGGAATCCAACACTTCCCTAAAAATTCGCCTATAATTGCTTCGTTGCAGTTTGCACGGAATTGAATTACAGCGAAGCAAGCGATAATGCAAGACAACAATTTTTATCACTTGACATTAGGTTTTGCAGTGCTAACTGACACTTTTGTTATCAGAAGCAATTTTTTATCCGAAATGAATGTCGCAGGTCCGATTCCCGCACAGGGATCTAAGATACAAGTTCGCTCCTGGTTGTGGACAAAGCGCGATTTTGATAATAATCTGTTTCAACTCTTTTCTGTGCTTGACCTTTGTCTGTTATGGCGATATAGTGATGCGACGATCGAAGTGAATGGCTGGAATACCAGTCCGAGCAGCTGCGATATCAATCGTGATAGTATCGGCAGCCAAAGAGGCCAGAACGGTGTAAATGGTAGTAGTACGAGAGAACACCTCAGCACTGAAATAGATCAGTTATCTAGTGGCGGGAATGAGTCTCTGAAGCGAATACCATAACGACAACTTCCTGTTGCAGTACATCTGAAGCAATGAAGACGAAACAAGGGAAGAAAGTAATGGATAATGATACGCATGACACAAATAAAACGGGAGGAAAGTCCGTGGCAAAACGAGATGAAAATCGAAAAGGCGATTGCTGTGAGGTCGTAGAGTCAGGTTATATCAGAAATCCGAGAAGAAAATGGAGGATAGGCGGAGAAAGATAGCATCTGGAATCATGAAAACAATGGGAAAGCAGATAAGGTTGTGGAAAACTCGGTGAAAGATTCATATTTATGTGGTAAGTGGAGATGACGCAAATTCAAGTAAAAAAGATTGTTGTGTGGCGTCAAAATTTTTACTCTCCTACAGTAGTTGAATGTATTTGTTGATCAGATAATAGGAAAGTATTATAAGAAATAAACTCTGCATTAATTGCAGTAAGCAATTATTCTGTTTACTTTGATTAATAAAAATTAATATGTCATATTCATAATGATGACATTAAGTAGTTGTGTTTGTACCGTAGGACAGAATGCAATTTGCGCCCTTTAGTAGGTGGAATTTCCGAAACATAACAACAGATTGCTTACTTGGTCAAATATGCAAGTTTTTGCCCATGTAACGAAGAATCCACCATGGTGTTTGCTTGAAATGTTTCACAAGTTTTATCTGACCATATTTGCATTTATATGATGATGCTGAATTATTTTCGCACGCATTTTTTGAAAATACGGCAATTTGTCCAAGTAAACGTGAAAAAATGAAAAACTGCTCAATTACATTGGCTTTTTCCTGTTTATCTCAGTTGTTAACATCAATTTCAGATTACTGTTTTTACGCACTGATGAAAATGAGAGCTGCGAAGATTGCGTTTCTGAGCATTACAGATTCATCAAACTATTTCAATGAATTTTTTTACAATTCGATTTACGCACATTTGATGGATGAAATGATGTACTTGAGAGAAAAAATACTGAAATTTTTTCTAGGATTGAATACTTCGTAGTTTCCACATAATCATTGTTGTTAGATGTGAAGGAATGAATGACTGTGTCGTCAAAAAAAAAATCTGATTCAGTTTTATCAAACACTCAAAATGAATAATAATTGAAATGTAATCAAACAAAAGTGTTGTTTATTCTTTACATTTTCACTAACATACAGCATTACTTTTAAAAATGAGTAACATTCAAAAAATAAATTCAAAATAAATTCACAACACTTTTGACACAAGTACATAAATTCTTTCAATTAATTTACGTTACAGATATATTCATATTTTAATAATTTATTTTAAAATATGACGTGTCAATATGAATTTATTTTAATGAAAAGAATTTATGTACTTTTAATAAAAATTAAAATAAATTATTAGAAAAAAGAATTTCTCTTGCTGGTCTAGAAAAATATTGCAAGAATATTTAGCTTCTTCATACATTCCCAATCTATTCTTGAGTGGTGGGAATATCACTACTTGCAATATCTCTAGAACTAGACAGCAGGAGCTTTCATGGTGTATAATTCTTTTTTTTTTTTACTTTTTCAAGTTTTAAATAAGCAATAAAAAAGAATGATGCACGTATGTTCATCGACTACTTACAAAGTAACGAAAGCATTTAGAAAAATGCATTAATTTAAGTTAGCTAGAAATTTTAATCATAAAGATATACCAATCATAATACAATGAATTTGATGTAATTTGTAGCCGACAACGAGTTAATAGTTTGTGCTTCGCGCATCGTCTAAAATATAGATAAATTTTAATTGCTAAAGATAAAGCACTGACATAAAATACGAAAAACAAAGAAGTCACAATCAGAAGCAAACTCGTAAAATATGTAAGTGCCACACGCGATATGAAATACAGATCTTTTATTCAGTAGATTTTTCTATCGAGAACACCGGTTGATTAAATAAGACATTTCTGAGAGCAAGAATTTTAAGTTCTGATATTCGCAAACAGGATATAAAAGATCTGCAATCACTGTTTTTAAGCAAAAAACAAAAATATACTGCAAACAATCACTAGCAGTCTATGTCTGATTCGTTTGCTTAAAAATGAATAAATCCTGCGCGCCAAAATCATCCGAAAAAATTTGGATAATTTTGAAAATACTGTTGAGCGACGATATATGCAGCTGAAAAATGATAATAACAATTTGAAAGTAATACAAAGTATTCAATGTAACTGATACATTTCAAGACCATTTTATTTGTTAACATTTACTTGAACAAGTTGTAAAAGTATGTAAAATGTGTGCGAAAATAATTTAGCATCATTATAAATGCAAATATGATCAGAAAATAAAACTTGTAAAATATTTGAAGCAAACAGACCTCTGAAGTCGGGATCCCTCATGAATTCTTGGAATGCGCTATTCAAGAAAAAGGCCAAAGGCTAGAAAGCGCAAATTTTATTCAGTTGTAAAAAAATTAATTTTAGTTTTCAATCAGTCTTTTCTTTTTTATAACCAAATAAGATGTATTTTCTTTTGTATATATTAACTGCCAGATTTCTTTTGTTAAAAACATATAAGTGACAATTTTTAAATGTGAAATAAGAAAATTAAAAACAATCATAACTGTTAGCTATTCATTGAGTTGATTCTGAAATAAAACAGAAAAATCTTTTTTTTACAAATTTATGATATATATGAAAGGAAATTTTGTGAGAAGGAGCTGCTGTTGACTTGCAAAACTGCTTACCTGATAAACTGCATACGGAGTTACATAAAACATGTAATTGAATTGCGCATTCATCATGTGCTGATAAAATAAATTGTAATGCACAGCATTGACAAAACCTAGCACAAAAGGATTTTGATCGTTCGTCACAGCAGCAATCGGATTATCAGTAACAACACTGCTGCCATTTTGATCATTTCTTGCTGTCAATTCATTGGTAGTTGAATCAACTACTGTACCGCTGTCACCTCCTTCAGCAGTGATTGAAGTGACTTCACTCTCTCTTGCTGAATCACTAATATTCAAGTTGATTGCTACCTTATTGCTGATGTTAGATTTTTGGTCAGTAACTGAAGCATTTTTATTTGCTTCTTCTGAGTCCTTGATATTCAAATTTTCAGGAGAGACATTAGAATCAATCACTCCAGTGGTATCTAAATCAGAATCGATCATTTGTTTAGTTCTTCTTCTTTTAATGGGTACAGGAGTGGAATCCTCTCCAGTCTCGTTCTTTCTGGTGGCTGCAGAATTGTTCACTTTGTCAGCCTTGCTCTTTTTGATGGCTGCAGAAGTAGTTGCTGCTTCAGCATTTTCTGTTTTACTTTCTAATCGGTACTTCAGTTCTGAAGATTAAGCACAGTACATTGCCAGTTTCAAATATTAATCTAAAAATTAAATATTAATTGTAAGCATACATTTATACTAGCTGTGATTTATAATTTTTAGCATTTATGAATCGTTTTTGGAACATTGATTAAAAAAAAAACTTACCGCCTCTCTTTCTTCGCCCTACCACTCTTAAATACTTCTCTTCATTTTGTGCGTGGCTATGCTCATCCCGGAAAGTTGTAATGCGCAAAGTCAAAGTATCGCGAGAGAGTCGCAAGCGCAAAACTGCGTCACAGTGCAATGCAAAATACGATCTGTATCTTCTTATGTTTCTGCCTTAAAAAACTCATTCATTTATTTAATTTCATTAAAAAAAATATTGTTATTATTATTTCAACTAGTGGTTGAGAACAGTGTTCTACTAAATTATTTTCTGTCTAAAAAATGAGCAAACAACTGAAGTCAATCAAATTGTATAATAAACGCTGCGAAATCACCTCTGCAGCGTATAGGGCCATAACGTGCACAGTGATAATTAACATATTTATATTTGAACCGATTTACAAATTCTACACTTTCATCTTTCTGTTTGAGAAGCTCGGAATTGCCAACTCGGAAAGGTGCGAAGTTGACAATTTTGTATGCTTCGAAAAATGTCAAAAATTCTTGAATGCTGCAAATTTAAATTACACTTAACTATTAGCACAAATGATAATGATAATTTACAATCATAAAATACTTTCTGCCATTTACTGAAAATACAATATTCTTGAAGTCTGGGTTGCTCTCAAAGTTTTACAAAGAAAGAAGTATCATTATTAACCTAGAAAAGCTAGCACCGCTTCGAATTTTCATGGAGGCTCTCTTAAGTACTTTTATTTCCTTTTCATTGAAAACAGAGTACGTCTGGTTTATTAAGTTGTTTATATCCAAGAAATTGGTGTTCTCAATAGTGGCCGCAATATGATTTGATGAGCTGCTTGCTGGAGCTGTTTCATTTTTAGTCCGTAAAGGTCTCTTCCTCTGTCATAATGATCAGATTTGCCTTATATTTTAATATGTCATTTAGTTAAATTAAAATCGTTATACATAAAAAAATTCAATCTTTCTATAAATATTCATTTACTTACGGCTAAACTGCTGTAGTTTTTGCTAGAAACTAAAAGCAACATACATTTGCAACCATAATTGATGCAAAGATTGAATGTTGTTGTAATTCGAGGTTGTTCTCCTTGTTATCTATTATTAAATTAGTAGATTAATACTTCTCAAGCAAAGGACTGCAATGAAAATTAAAAGAATTTCACACTTTTCCTAACACTTTCCAATTTGATGTTTGTTTGTTTTATGAGAAATGGACGAAGTTAAGTCACTAAATGTTATATTTAGTTCATTTAATGCACTGATTAATGAACTTCTTAAAAAAATTCAGATTTAATAAGCCTTTTTGGCACCTCAGCGAACTAATAAGCATACTTTATGCGCTGTAAAAGTGAAAAAGTTCATCATTTGATAGATTAAAGAGGGCAAAATTAGCACAAGAACAACTATCCTACGGTACAAACACAATTGCTTAATGTCATTATTATGAATATGACATATTAATTTTTATTAATCAAAGTAAACAGAATAATTGCTTATTGCAATTAATGCAAAGGTTTATTTTTTATAATACTTTCCTATTATCTGATCAACAAATACATTCAGTTACTGTAGGAGAGTACAAATTTTGACGCTAGCAAGCAGTTTTTTATACGCTATTTGAAATTCTGTTTTTTCCAGTTATCACACAAATCTGATTAAAATAAAAGTAGTAAATTGCAGCTTTTGAAAAAAATGTCAACAAGAAGCGAGGATGATGCAAGTTGCAGTGGTTACAGAATAAATGAATGATAAAATGGCTGGGGAGAGTCGAAGGTTATGCTGGTACTGGTGTTAGGCTGACCAACTGACTAACCACCGTCTATTTTGGGTCATTGTGGGCGAGGCATCTTGTTTTTTGCGTCATAGCCTCTTTTTTTGACACTTTTTTCAGAGGTTAAGCGCTAAACATACTGATTGAATTACAGTCATAGATGCCATCCTTGTAATTAAAATGTTATATTATAAAATTAAAATGCTAAAATACTTTACGCTTAGCTAATACATACCGAAAAACTGTATTGTCTCTTATTCACTGACTGACCTCACAAAAAAAAAGTTCAAGTACATAACACATACACTATATTTATCATGTTAAAGGCACAAAGATGAGATGTTGAAAATTTTTCTTAAATTGAACGAATGTTCTCGAAACCTTTCTAATCTACAGATATAATGAGAGCAGTTCTGTTATGTAGGAGAACACTTTGAGTACATAAGCCATTCATGAATAAGAGGTAGCAGATCAAAATTATGAGTTATTGTATGTCCATTATGAGTTATGGTATGTCCTGCGAATGGTATGTAAATTTGTTTCCTACAAGTAAGAACTGAAATGGAGAAAAATTTGAATAAATAAATGTTCACGGCTGCAAGAGAGATTAGAAGGTGCAAGACGAGACGCTGGGTGATGCTTTTGGAATTGAAAACATTTTTTGATGCTATACTGAAGCAATGCTACAGACAACTTCAAATACTTTGGACTTGGCTACTGTGACTTTTACAGTCTAATCCTCCGTTTTCTCTGAATTCACTGCCGTATTATATTCTACTCTATTCTGCATTTCTGCTCTCCTGCAAATACGAGAGCATTTATTTAAGGTTTCCATCATTATGCTCACTGGCTAAGAGCAAGAAGAAGCTTAGCAATGTCACTAATTTATTGACAACAATTGCGGTGGTGATTTTTGCTTAATTGCAGCAAGCAATTCAGCACAATTCAAATACTATTCACAGTTTATTTTTCTGACTTTTGTACTCGAGGAAATGTGCTGTTTTCGAATGAGTACAGCAAATGCTTGGGATAAGCCAGCATGATTTCGCTAGTTTGTTGAGTAATACAGTAGAGAAGGCAAGGGAGAGGGAATAGCAAAAGACTGAGAGAGGAGGTCAGACAATTGCGAATGCAAGAATAAAATGGAAGAGCGGAGAAATAAATCTTGACGCTGCGTAATTTCAAGCGTCACGTAGGTAAGGAAAAACACCTCATGCTAAGAAAAAGTGTGTAGAGTTAAGGGGCAGCAGTCAGTTCTGGCTGTTCAAAACCGTACGTGTGTTCACGTCAGGACAGGGTAGGTATGCAAAAGATGCTCTCAGATGAGCAAGAAGGCATACGCGAGAAGTGTTGAAGTAGCTACGCGACGTTTGTTCTGAAGCTGTCTTATGAAGGATACACACAATGTTGCTGAGAATGTAATAATGCAAAGGTTTGGGTGGATATTAGTGCGAAGAGACACTTTTTCGAAACTGTAGAAGAGAGTGAGTAGTGCATTACTTACGTTGCTTACGGAGCGATCGGCGGATAAGGTAAAGAATGGCAATTTGGATATTTCAAGAGAATGTCTTGTCTGTATCTGTTCACTAAATTAAGCGCTGTCAGTCAGAGATATGCTTGCTATCTCTTTAATTGCGTCTCATCTTTTTCTCACCATTCGCCTCTTTGCCTTTCATATCATTTATGGCATAAAGAAATGCTTTCCTTTGCTCTCTTACTCTTATCGTAGCGAGTTATATTGTTATGTCTCTATACAATTCTTCTTTTACTCCATTAAAGTGACCACTTCCGATGTGCATTCAAAATCACAAAACGTCAGATTTGAGTTGTTCAGAAGGAGGTTTTATAGGAAATTAACTGAGGAACATCTTGTTAGCCACAATGTAGGAAGAGAAGAGATAAGAGAGTTCTGGGTCACTACTTGAACTCGGAAATGGGAGATGATAACATTTGACACAGTGAATATCTGGTAGAATTCGTAACAGATTTTGAAATGCATGGTACTTTTCCATCTGAAGTCAAATTGAAGAAGATAGTTTGCCATCTGCCAACTGGATAGTGGCATGCTCCTCTTTTAATTTTAAATTCTACAAATTGAATGAATTTTTAACAAAATATATATCTAGCACTTTTCAGCAAATGAAATTTCTGTGCTTTTGTCATAAATGCTAGATAGATGAGTATTTATGTGATACTTCTTGTTCTTGTTTCTAATGCATCATTTTATGCGTTATTTTTATCACAACAATTTTAGAATTAAAAATATTACCACTGCTGTATTTTATCAAAAGTATAATAAAAATGTGCCCTAATTCTTTTATGTTTTGTTGCTTTCACATTTTTGTATATCAAAAATTTTTGGTGCAGAAATTTTTTATAGATACATATCAGTACATATTCATCCACTTATTTTTACACGTAGTTGTATTTATGGCAAAAAGAGCAAAAATTTCTACTCTAAAATTAAAAATTGAAATATAGATGAATTACTTAAATTCTTCATCTCTACAACATCTAAATGCTTTAATATTTTGGTTTTTGACGCGTTTGTTCAATATTCTGGCATCCTCAGTTGATCTCAGTGATTTTGTTTTCGTACGTGGCAAAGCCCAAGGTTGAACTTCTCCATTAACAAAGCAACAGAAGATAATTCCACCAACGGCCAAAACTGCACTTGTTATAAAGAATACAGTACGCCATTCAGAAACCGTACCCTACAGATTATATTGAAAAACAAACAAAATTACCAAGTGAAATTCAATAAAGAACCAAAATTATAGATGACAAGATTAAAATTTTAATATTTTTAGTACAAATAGGTGAAATTTATGCTTACAAGTATGAAGTAAAACTAATACAATTTCTTATACATCCAAATTAAAATGAAAGTAATCAAGGAAATTTTGAGACTTTGTACTTGATAATTTTACAAAATCAGGCCAAGTGATAAGTCTGATAAGTATTTTATAGCCATTAAAATGGTTTCTTACAACACAGCAAGAAAATTTTGCATTATTAAACGTAATTAATTCAAAATATGTTAATATTATAGGCTTTTATGTAATACTTGCAAAAATTTTTATTCATGCTTACGTATGCTTTAATATAGAGCGCCTAAAAAATATTTCAAATTCTATTACTTCTACAAAGTTTCCAATTTAATTTGCGTGAAATATTTTAATTAATAATAAAAACATGTTTGAAATTGTATTTGTTTAATCAGTTCTAATCTCTTGATTTTCGTATACAAGGTATACGAAAATCAAGTATTTAAAATTTTCATGAGAATTATTCTTAAATAATACTTAATGTTATTCAAAGATTTTACTAACTAAATTATAACCTTTGATGTAATCAATCCGACTAATAGGGGTGCTAAAATTCCAGCAATACAAGACAAAGTATTTCCAATGCCAAGCAGTTGTCCAGCAAATATCGGAGCAATATCAAGATAATTTACTAAATATCCTGTATATGCCATACCAGAAAGACCAATACCTAATGTTAAATATATAATTGTGTGTAAGATATCATCACATTCCAGATAACCAGTTGCTATCAGAAAACCAACCTGACTGCAAAATGCTGAAATGAATAATAAAGAGAACTAGCAAAGTAATAAATGCAAAATAGCATTATACGACACATCGTCAAATTTATTTACCTATGATAATTGCTATTCGACGTGTATTTGTTACTGATAACCAGCCAGAACTACATATTAAATCCGCTACCGCTCCACTAGCAGTTATGCAAATGCAATATAAGACATATGGTAAAGCAGCTACTGCACCCATCTAAATCACATATTCAGATCTTAAGTTGAATATTTATAATTCATTTTGTGTTGTTTGCAAATTTTTATTTTTTATGTAACAAATTCTTCAATTAAATTCGTAAAATGCCAGCTAAAGCAAATTGTTAAAAATTCTACTCAACCAGCACTAATTTTGTATTTTTTGTGTGTTTACTCACTTCGTTTAATCAAATTTATTGTTCTTACAATAAATATTGCTAAATTTAAGCAATTTCAACATTTATTCATAATTGTAATTTTATTATAAAATGTGAGAACTTATTAGTGCTAAATCATTTGATGGCAACTAAATTAATCGATTTTATTTCTTCATTAATTTTTAAATATTATTTATTGAAAATCATAGCTTTCTTATAAAAGTCTTAGGGATAGTTTAGATAAGCGATGATTAAAACTGCACGTAAGTTGCAATAAAATGGTCGACCAATTTTTAATATTTATCATATGATATATATTCAATATGCTACTTTTATTTGATAGAATTAATATTTAGCATTATTGTTAATGGAAAACGTATCGGAAATTAACCATACAGATGTAATATCCATCCCACGAACATCAGATAGGAACGTAGGTAAACTAGTCATCATTATGTATGCACCGAAATCACTTGCCCAATGGCCAGCCAATGTAGCCCATACTGCCGAAGACGTCAAAATTTGACGCCATGGTATATCCACAGCCTAAAACATTATTAATTTGAATTTTTCACTAGCATTAGCAAATACTTAATTCACAATATATTCATTATTATTTGTTATCAACGCTCATTATTACGTGTTATTTTTGCATATTATGTGTTTTGTGTATGGTAAACTTTTATCATAATACTATCAAATATCTCCTACAATTTTTAAGATGAATATAAAATGTTTATTTGTATTTCCAAATTTTTTCAAACAATCCACTGCTTCAAATTACTATTTAGTTGAGCTGTGAGAAATTTTGAGCACTTTCTATAACAAAATTTAGTGCAATTATTTTACACCACATTGCAGTTCATTCAATTTTAGAAGTTTTATACATTATGCGTTGTATATTAAACATTTAATAAATATATTTTCGTCAGAACTATTTCAGTTAAAGTTGGTTTAAATTTTTTTGATATCACAGCACTGAGCAATTAGTTTTTATTGATAATCTTTTCAAAGGGATGAATGGAATAGAAAAACAATAATGAATGAATGAATTTTTTTAAGTAATTTTTGTAAAAAATTAGTGAATAATGACTGTTCCTTTAGAGATTCATCGATCATCAAAGATTTAAGCGAATTTGCAATGTATTTTTGTTCTATTTTTGATATAAATTGGCTTTTCATAGGTGTATTTGCCACATGCCAAAACCACAGTGTAGCTAACATTAGGGAGAATAAGCCTGAAATGTGCATTACTAATATGCCATATCTTAACTGCCAATATTAATATTAATCTTACTGCTTATTATTATTATTATTATCACTGTTATTATTGATATTACCGTTATTATTATAACAAACATCGTTAATAAGTGTCATCATTTGCTTTTGCCTTTAAAATCCATGTAGTACGTAATAAAAAATTCAAGTAATATTGTCAAAAAATTAATATACAAAAATAATGCTTAAATAAACTTTTCAAGCGAACCACACTTTACAAAAGATAATCAATTATTAGCAATTATAATTTATAAGCAATTATTAACAATTTATAGTAAAACCGAACTGAACTGATCCGACTCACTAGAAGTTGTATAAAAATTATTATGAAAATTTTTATTACACGAATGTTTTTGTGAATTGAAAGAAAAGGCGGGAATATTGCTTGAAACATCTCAGATACTTTAAATGCTACAAAAAATTTTAAATTATTCGAAGCATCGAATAATTTACTTTGCATTCCAATGATACACACTATTTCAAACAAAAAATTGGAAATTGGTCATATTATTAAAGTAATAACATGAACGATGCCATCCCTAATACTGCCTGAGTATTTTTGAATTGCAAAATTTATTTTGCATTAATTTTTTATAATTATAAAAATATCTTGCTGTGATTAAATAATGTTCTTTAAAATAATTATATTTTAATAAAATATTTTCTTGTACCATTTTCATAAAAATTATTTGATAATTCAGATGCTAAATTAATATCAGAAATTTTGGAGTGCGATATAAATAAGTTATACCAACAACGTAGAATAGGGATGGCCAGCCAGCCGCAAAACCATATTTGCATAATAAGGCGGATAAAGGCATGATAATAACATTGCCAACTTGATTGCCTGCAAATGGAATCATATAATAAAATTTGTATAAATACTTTGAAATTCAGCTATCCGCTCAATAACAAAGAATTTACAAAGTAAAATACTAAATGTATGTATGTGTGTTGTCAAATATATCTTTTAAAAATGGAATTTTAAGTATGAAAAACGAATTAAACATTTATTGATAATCTCGTAAGTTTTCAAGTTAAATTACTTAAAAAAAGATTATTACTTAATCTTCAAGCTCGTCATAATCAAGGAATTAAGTGTACTAAATTAGTACCGCTTGTAATTTTTTGCAGATTATTAACTGCTGCTTACCAGAATATGCCAAGCCGCAAATGAAACTTGCTTCATCTGGAGGTGTCCAACGAGCCAATAGAGTATGCATTGCTGGATATATTAAGCCCTTCAATTGAAAGATTAATGTATAAACCGTTCATAAAGAAAAAAGTACTCATTTTTGTCACTTGAAAAATCACTTAAGATCATTCAGAACTCAGTTGACGTCACTAAATGATTATTTTAAAAGTAAAAGTAAACATTGATAATTTCAATTAAAAGCTAAAGTGAAATTGCTTAGATTAAACAATAAACAAATTATAATTTAAGGTAGTAATTTTACATGGAACAATCCAATAATAGCTCGAATTATCAGAAAGCAGTAAAAGTTTGTAGTTGCTGAAATCGGTGATATTAAAGTTAATAAGGCGGTAACTGTAACTGCTATACCAATGACTGATTTCGGACCATATCGAAGAGACAAATATCCACCAATTATTTGAGTAAGTAAATAACCCCAATAAAATGAACTTAGTACTGAACCTTGCATTGCTTTTGACCACAACAATCTATCATCATTGTCCTAAACAACAGCACTGTAATCTTTGTAATATTTAATTGTTCTGCAAAATTTTATACAATGAAATATTTTAGAAAAACTAACTGAAATGGCCATTGTCTTCTTCAAAATTTTTTGATCATTTCTCTTATTATTGAATAAATAAATAATAATAATAATTATGATATTTTTTTAAATGAATGTCACCATCATTATTCATAACCACAACGTGAGATGAAAGTTTAAGGTTGTTTATTCATTCAAACAAAATTAATAGTTTAACAAACATTTATGAGTTGAGCTGACACTTTTGTACAAACATTATGCGTGGTGCTATCATTGGATAACATTGCAGTTGTGTTTACCATGCAAACAATAGCAAAACTTAAATCATTGCGCATACTGTAAACAACGATGCCCATCAAAAAAGCAAGCATAGCTATATTTGCTCGAGCTGAGCAAAGTAATTCTGTAACAAAGTAAAACAGTAATCAATTATGGAAAAGTTAGAAAAAAAGTAATGATAAATTTTAGTGCAAAGCATAATTATGCTTTTTTAGTTTAAAAATATTACCGCCAAAATTACTAATTAAACTTATTGTCTATCAATGGTTGTTTAATTAATCCTTAAATTTAAATCAAAAAATCAGCTCAAGTTAAAAAAAATTCCAATAATTAGCTTGCTCAAAATGATTTCGATTTCTATTTACAGTGCATTTTCGAAATGCTAAAAGTTATAGCTAATCAGAATAGAATTTTCGACAAAAAAGTATAAAGAATTTTGATTTACCGCTTTTTTTTGCAGGAAAATTGAAGTGGAAAGGTCAATTACTATTATCGCTAATAGAATTTTAGATACAATGCATTTAATGTAATCAATATTTATCCGGAAAGCGCGAATTTGAAAACGTTAAGTTTTGTAAATATCACAAGAAGATATTACTTGGTTTTGATTCCATTTTAGGCATAAAATTATTTTGCTTGTGACACTTTAAAATTAATAATTTAATATTTGAATCGATTGAGAACAAAGTTAAACGGATGATATCTTTGTATTATGTGCAAAAAATACCCATTAAAGTCTGCTGAAAATAAAATATAAAAGCACATTTTATTTTTGAATTTAACGAATAAGTAAAAAAAATTTGTAGGAGAAATTTACAAATTTTCAAATTATCACAATAAGATTTGTAATTTCAAATACTATGCCTGATAAGTTATGAACTAAATAAATTATTTATTTGCAACATTCCGCAGGAATAAAAACTGTGGTATCATTATTTATCGTAGACAACTCTGGTCGAGTCACTTTAAATTAAAAAGATTTTTATATTATATTTGTAAGAAATTATTGTAAGTAATTTACGAAATTTGTATAATTTAAAAAATATTTTGCTTTATAACAGCATACATACGAATTTTTTTGAATAGTACTATATACTTTGTAATAATTAGCTAAATGTATGAAAATAATATTATAGTAATTATTCATTAAAGGATATCCAAAATCACTTGATTATCAATGAAACCTATGATTAACAGTGATCAGTAATTATTTTGATGATTAGAGTCAAAACTAGATAATTTAGAGTCACTATTTAAAGTCAATTTTATATCTATAATGGCCTATTTTTTCATACTTTAAAAAACTTCTAACTAATAATTTAAGAGTATAGCTGTTCTTGACAAAAAACAACTATTAAATACAACCTACTATAAGTATTAGTTAGAACTATGATAACAACCATGAAAAATTATAATGCCTTAAGCATCATTTGATAACTACTTTAATCCCAAAGCAAGTCTAATTTTTCAAAAAATAATTTGAAAATTATTTAGAAGTTTTTAGCAGTTTTAAGACAAATGTTTGAGCTATGAAAATCACAAATTTGCATGAACTGTCTATTGTAATTTAATATTCCAAAGAGTCCATTTTTTTTGTGGCTAATAATTGGTCATTTTTTCAAAATTTTAGTTTCCATTATATATTTGTATATTGCATTAATTTTTTTACAAGTATCTAACTTTTTTGCATCTCTGAATTTTTTAATTTTTCAAAAAATTTTCAATAAAACTGAATTTTAAAATCTTGCAATATTGTTTTTTTTCATTTATCCTACAGTTAACTGATTGAATATTTTTAATTAAAATATCCCAAAATTTTATAATCATAATCTAAAAATAAACAATTTGCAGTAAAGAATTAAAAGTGTTAAGCTGATAGCTTACATGCTGGCTACATTAACATTACTGCTATGGCTCGCATTTTTCATGGAATTTCGACTTTTCGAGAGGTATTCATGCAATTAAGTTTTTAAATTCTAATCTAGATATTAAATCGAAAGCTAGTAAGCCAACATTGTTACTTATTCCCTCCTTTTTAAGAAATCTTTGAGACTACAAATTTCTATTAGCAAAATTATTAATTTGTTTCAGAATTGAATTGAATCAAATTTTAACTGATCTCAAAAACTGAATACCTCAGTATTTTATGCTAAATTATACTTTCCAGAGAGTGCATTACTTTTTTTTAATATTAGAGAACACAAAAAGCTTCATATTTTTAAAAAATTTGGGAATTCAATAGATTATTTCTGAAATATTCTCGTTATAGTAATAATGATGAGTACCAAGAAAGTGTACTGCATGGATTAGATCGAAATTTGGAATGCTTCTATCGATATTCAAAAAGAGATCACCACCAAAGTTTTGCTGAATGGTTACATCGAAAAAATACCTCACATTATACACCCATTGCACCGCTCCATCAGCAATCTTTGATTAATTTGGAGGTTAATTGGATAAGTAATTTTTATTTTTACTGTATTTCAACCTTCGCAATTTTTTTGAATTGCTTGAAATTTGCTTTTCTTATTTTTCATCGTTGAGGAGCGCTGCAGGTAGGTTTTCGTATAATATTAATCATATAAAACTGATTTTCTTTAAAAGAAAAAGGCATAAATCAAGTTTGATCTAACATTATATGGAACTATTTATTCCACAGCGGAAATAATAATTTATAAATTATATTATATCGTATGAAAATGTTGCAATATTTCGACTTGAAAAGTTGCAAAAGTTCAATGATGATGATGATGACGATTATTATTATTATTATTATTATTATCTTGATATTTTCCTGATTATGGCATTATGCTTAAATGTGATTATTTTAACTCTTTCAAGCTCGATTCACTGAAAGATGGCGAGCAAGTAACACATGGAATACTGGACTGCTTAGCGCCTAAACTTTTTGCAATCACGCCTGACACGCCTTTGAAAGAACGTGCATTGTGCTATTTTGAATATTTCCTTAATTATAATCCGCAAGTATGTTTCACGTTTTTCTCCTCAAATATTGAAGCGAACATTTGAATAGCTAGAGAAAACACATATCTAACTTGAAGTTTTTAAGAAATATGTAGAACTTCTTAAAAAATGTTTTCAATTTTAAGCTTTGAAAAGACTCAAATCATTTCACAAATACAATAATAAAAATCTATGCAATGTTAGTATCTAAATTAATTCTGTCTGATATTTGTATTTTACGCAGCGCTTCAATTGACTTACTATGAATAAACCGCAGGAATGAAAATGATACACTTAGTGATATAGACAAATCAGTATAAAAAAGATTTATATGATTTGAAAAATATGATATACAGTAATAAGTAATAATATATCTAAAAGTAATAAGTAATAATATATCTAAAAGTCTAAACTTACAAAATAATATTTGTAGTGTACGAAAAAAAATATTATTTATTCTTTCATATAAGACTTCTACATATACTAATTTTATTGTCATCAAGGCATTGTTAAAGCAATTCATGTTTAAGTCAACATAGTATGACTATCTCAAATATGGTAAAAGTAAATTGTATTAATTATTAAAAAAATAAAGATACCAATTAAATAACGAGTATGCAATTTTAGAAGGCGCAATAATTTACAGCCTAATTTTTCTAAAATTTTATCATCAAAATTGTTAAAGTTTAGATTAATATTCAAATAATACAATAAAATGTCTAAAAAAACCAAAAAACAAAGTTATTTTCAAGTTGTAACGATGAAATAATCAGAGTAAAGAATGATTGAATTCACATTGTAAATTTTAGACAAAACTCACAAGCATAGTAATTGATAATGAAGTACTTTTATTTTACTACATTGTAATTCAGTAGTATTTTTGAAATAAAAATTAAGAACAGATGAAAATGGCGCAAACTAAGGAAAGAATTATACTTAAGTCACAAATATCACAAAAATATGAAAGCAATAATTTCAAAGATTAAGCAGACCTTTTAATAAATTAAAACAATGAAGCATCAGAAAGCATTGATTGTTCTTTTCAGAATCAAAATCAGCGATGATATTTGCGAATAATTAGTAACATTTTGCAAATTCTTGCGCTTACTTTTTAGAAGAATAAAAATTGTGAAAATTTAAGCAAATGCAAAAAATTGCTTTAAGTTTTGATTAGTTTATTTTTTGTCTAGTATTTCTGCTACTCCCTTTGATAACTAAATAACTTAAAAATGCTAAAAACCGATTACTTCTTTAAAAAAATTATCTTTTATTATTTTTATGCATTTTATTCAATTATAATTATTGTTTTTCTTATAAAGATTATGATACCAACGGCAATTATAATTTTGATATTTTTTGACTTTTCTTTTCAATTCCCTGATTACTTGAATATAATTATTGTTTTTTATGGAAAAAATTTTTTATAAAAGTAAAAAGTGTCGAAATTTTGATAAATTGGATTATATTCAAGTCTACATAAATGATTAATAATTTTATATTAAAAATTGTGCTTTGGTTTTGGATGTTTCTATGAACACAAAGTCAAATATTTAAATCTTTGCAATTATTAATGGATTTAGTACAATTTGTAAACTTTGACAAAAATTATGTTGTTCTATTGACAAAATTAACTGTAAAAATATCCATTATGTGCTAATTTTTACATTATATTTTAAGAGAATACCAGCGGCGCTAACAGAAGTACGATGCACGTGTTCACATCCATCTCCTCACGTAATAGGCAGACGGATTTTTGAATGTGAACCTCTACAATATCAAATTCGCGTACTAAAATTTGACGAACTTTGTCAAATATATTCAGAGCAAATTGAAACGATTGCTTTGGCATGTATTCCTGTATTACAGGTTGTTTTACACATTTTTCAAAATTAGCAACATCGAATAATACAATTTTTGATTGAGATTGCAATGCATAGAAATTAATGTACAAAAATCGAATAAATTTTGAACCGAAAGTTATAGCAAGTAATTAAATTATTAGTAGTTCATTTATTGCTAAAGATAACATTCGATTGAAAAGCAAAATTAGATTTTAAATTCTCACTTATAATAATTAGTTCATACTGAGACAATACCATTACACCATTAGACTTGTTGTAAATAGTCTTGATATCGAAACTACGTTTCAGTCATCTTTAATAATTAATTGAAGTATACTATTTCCTCAAATATCTCCAATCAAAATATAATCTCATTAGCTTTTTTAAAATTTGTTCAGTTTTCAAGCTCGTTCTGAATCCATCGGTGACATTTTCATATTAATTTTTTTAACAGAAAAAAACTTTATCTTGCAAGAACGTAGTTTTTAATTAACAAAGTAGATCAAAACATTGATATCTTGATGCTTTTTTTATATTCCAAACATATCACAACATTTCTACAGATAAGATCAACTTATCATTAAGTGATCAATGCAAACAATTTAAATTCAATTATACAAGCCGTGATTTATTCACATTTTTGATCAAACAATTGAAGGCTAGCGCGAAAGCTGATGGTGAGATGAAGTACGTCGCGCCTGAAAAATTTCGTGGCCCTATCAAAAAGAGAATTCAGAACGAACTAAAATCGTATATATTTTAAAAATAAGCTTTGCTTCATTTTTTCTTCTTAATTCGTACTATACTTCGATCTACCTCATAGTCCTGAATTATTTTTAACCACTAAATAATATTTATTATACACTATGTGAAGAAAATCAAATTGACTACAACTTGAGCAATGCCCAATTCATTAATTTTTACATACCTTTTTTAGACACTAAAGCGGGAAGTCTCCAAAATTATTTGATTCATTTTCAGAGAGCATGCCATATAGTTATTTGCTTAACTGTACGTAGTTTGTGACACATGCAGTATTTGCAACATTTTTATTCAGCAGTCAGAAAACAAAGCAAAAAGCTGAATCATGAAATATCTTCCGGGAATGTATAAAAAATCAAAGAGAACAAAAGCTGTGAAGAAACAAAGCAACAGATTTTGATAAGTTGTACATTTCAAAATAGCAAGAAGTAGAAAAAAACATTTGTCGTATTATGTTAGCATTTACATATGAAGAACCAGTCATGTTAAGAAGATGAAACATAGAATTCTCATGTTAAATGAGATCAAGGATAAAAGTAATTAATACATTATAAAAGCAATGTTCCTAACAAAAAATGATGAATAGTTCAAAGTAAAACATAAGTGAACATCAGTTTTGAACTATAAAAAACAGAAATCAAACTGATATGTTATAGGCGGAGTTAAAGTCAATTAAACAAACAAATTAACAATTTGATTGATTCATGAAAAACTTAATTTCAGTCAGGGACATCTTTATAAAGAACAGTTAAAAGCTCTCAGAATTATTACGTTGCTTGTGTTTAAGCTCACATTCTTCTTCATCAGCAACATCGCCCAATGCCCATGGTTGAATCTCACCTTTAGCAAATATACAAAAAATAATAGTCCCGGTTACCAGTACAACACCAGTAATCCAAAACACTAATTGCCATTCCTGTTGTGAGCCCTAAAATGACAAAATCATGATATGAGTGAATTAATAACGAAAATTTTTAATTAAATTAGCTCACTAACTTTTATTTTACAAAATAGCAAACTAAATTTAAAAATATTTTGCTGAATCTAATTACAACTTGATAATTAGTATTAACTGATTTAGCCAATATATATGTAGTTAAATAGAAGAATTGGCGCATACACACATTTCTTTGAGAAGAAAAAAAAAAGGAATTAAAATACCGTGGGAGTGAGCACAGAAACCATCATTGGACCAATAATTCCCGAAATACAAGTAATTGTATTACCAATACCCAAGATCGGCCCAGCAAATGTTGGAGCAATATCAAGATAATTAACTACAAAACCAGCATACTGTATTCCTGACAAGCCAATTCCTAACGTAAGGAATGTAATTACTAATGTATCTTGACCACATCCACAATAACCACTTGCTATCAAAAACAAAGCCTGACTTCCAAGTCCTATAATTTATTTACGTTAAATACAGAAAAGTTACTGATAATAAAATCACCTTTGAATTGACCATATCTCAAATTGACATGTTTTTCACATATTACACTGGATTTTTTAAAATAACATTTTTGAACTGTATCATACAATTAATGACATCATAAATTATTCCTTTAAAATATTGTTTGCAAATATGCATGAAATTTTGTTCTCAATTCTTACTCACTGATTAACAGAAGTCAGTCAAAATCAGCTATAATGAGACGTAAATTTTTTCACGAATAAATAAACCAAAGAAAAATGTATAAATTGTCTTTTTAACTATTCTTCGTAATTTTTCAAAATAAAACTTGCCAACGATCATAGCAAGACGTCGGGTCGCTATGGTAGAGAGAACATTTCCATTCCTCAATTTATCTGCCACAAAACCACCCAAATTAATAAATACAAAATATGCTATGTATGGGATTGAACTTAAAAATCCAAGCTAAAATTACATTATGTCAACAGGAATTTCTCAAAGCAATATAAAATTAGGAAACCATTTTGTTATGAAATTCGAAAACGAAAGAGTCAGCGGTAAGATTAGTAGAACTTCATAAATTACTTCGTCTTTATCAATTCGCGTCAAAATTCCCGACGTGAATATGATTTTTTGGCAATAATCTTCAATGTATTATTTTTTGGAAAAAAAATCTAAGAACACTTTATACAACATCTTGTTAAATTATTTCATTCTCTTCAAAATAAAGCGAAAAGTTAACAAACCGAAGTAAACTCTAGTCCCAGGACATTTTTCATGTAAAGCGGAAGACTGGTCATCATAATATATGCACCCCAATCACCAGCAAAATGTCCACAAAATATCGCCCAAACCGGAACTGATGTTAGTATGGATGACCAAGGAACTGCTCGCTTCTGAAATTCAAAACAAAATAATTTTTCATCTCAAATAAAATAATAAAGAAATTATTACATAAAAAGGATTTCAGTTCTTGGTGACAAACAATGATTTTTCAGGAAAATTCTCATAAAATTCAAAGCATTATCACTAGAAGAACATAATACTGATTTCGATGACTAATTTCTTCCTCTTCACTTTAAAAATGCTATAATATCATAATGTAAAACGAATATATCTTCTTTGATAATAAGATTATCTATTAACACTATCTTCATGAAGTAATAAAAAAGTTCACCTTCTTCTTAGCATCTAACAACATTGTATCAGCTAATGAATCTTCAATATATTTTAGTTCCCTCTTTGAAATACGTGTACTACGTGAAGGATTATCAGAAACATAAAAAAACCAAAGAACACTCCACATGAGAGCAAGAAAACCTATAAAACATGACTATACAAAAGCATATCACAGATGAAAGTTTCAAGTGAAAAAGATTTTTTCACTTTACTAAATATTTAAATGTTAGAAGCAGATAATTTTTTAAGACCGAAAATCTTACCGAGAACGTAAAATATTGAAGGCCAACCGCCAGCAAATCCATACTTGCAGAGTAAACCAGATAATGGCATTACAAGGGTATTACCTATTTGGCCACCTAAAATTTCATATTTTTTAAGAACAAAAATAAATTCTCATACAATGAGCAACAGTATTTTATTACACAACGGCATAAAAGTACTTGATCCATTTCAAAACTGTCAATGGTATAAGACTTTGATTCAGTTTAAAAAAAATCATAGTAAAGAAATTTCTAATTGTAAAATAAATATAAAATTCATACCTGCATAAGTTATACCAGTTAAGAGACTTCTTTCCAAAGGTGGTGCCCACATTGACCACATAGTATGAAATGCAGGGAATATTGACCCCTACAAATGCAAAATGATCTTTACAAAAAGAAAAAATTCATGAATTAAAATGATAACAATTAATGAATAACAAGTTATATGCTTGCAATTAATTAATGTTAACAGAGGTAATACGAAAATGAACAAAATTTTTTTGGATATTTAAGAATTGAATTTAAATATCAAAAGTACCTGCATAAAACCAAGAAGAGCTCGCGCGGCGATAAATGCATATGGACTGGTCGTTGCAGCTATAGGACTGACCAAAGTAAGAAAAGCATTTACAAAAACTGATATACCAATCACTAGTCGGCCACCAAATCGATCAGCTAAATAACCACCAAGAATTTGACTACAAATATATCCCATGAAAAAGGCACTCAGTACATAACCTTGTACAGGTTTTGACCAAACCAATTCACCCATGGCCTAAACTAATAATATGTTTACTACAAATTTCTGAAAACAAAAAGATACAAATAAATGAATAAATAATTGATTAAGTTCATTTATTAAAATTATTAATTATTCGCTTAAACAAGCTTTACAAGATGACTTTTCAAGTTGATCCATTTAAAACAAGATGACTTATTCGCTTAAATAAACATGTTTCACATAATTAAACGTAAAATATTTTGATTTCATCTTTTATTGTAGTTAAGAATAAAGATTTGAAATAAATTTTACCATATCACTTTGATCTTCTGTATCTGCGCTATGTGCTTGACATGTTACAATTTTTCCACTACTGTTAACATTATTAGAATCAGACATTTCCACAGCGGTGCTATTGACCATGCAAACAATTGCAAAACTGACATTACTACGTAGCGCGTATACTATCACACAACCCAAGAATCCAATGAAAGCTAGATTCAACCGAGTCGAACCCAAAAGAGCTGGAATGAATTGTACAGATTAAGGTTAATATCATTTAAACTATGAGAGACTTAATTTCATCTGAGGTATGGCAGATCATTATTCAGCAAAAAAATACACATTTACTCATTTATATAATAAATACATGAAACGTACTGCAGATAAGCCAAGAAAGAAAATTATTCGTTGTCTCGTTCTTGTAATAAGGATGCAATTATTTAAAATACTGAACGTTGATAGTTTGAAAAGATTAATTTGATAGTTTGAAAAGATTAATACCCAGAAATAAGAAACAAATATTTGGTTATATTAATAATTCATGCTGTATAATAAGTAATTTTTCTTAAGCTATATGATAATTGCTTCTTTTGACTTTATCTCAACTTTTAACACACGCAGACTTACAACTAAAAAATTCAAATTTGTATTATCAAGGATTATGATTGTTATCATTGGTAGACAACTTATGAAAATTATTAAGAATGTCCAGTATTTTATGCTCACAGAAAAAATGTTTGATATTTACTAGTGTTTCATCAACAACTAGTTGTATATCATGGAAATTTTCACCAATATTTTGCAAAAATTTCATTTTTTTCTTTGCGTGATATGAATTCAAGTTAACGAAAATCTTTATTATATATAATTTATTTTTTGCAGATGTTCTTCAGTAATAAATATATCAAAGATAATAAAATATGCAGAATCAAAATTAAAAACTTGCATGTATTAGAAGCATAGAAAGACATCTGCGAAAATGCAAAAATTTCTTTTTTTAAAATATTTTGTAAAACTTTTGCCTGCCAAAGTACTTCACTACTTTCCTTCTACAAATCACTATCTCAAATTATAATTTATCTTATATTTCAATATGGATTATTTGCTTTTTTAAATACAACTTTGTTTTGCAGTACTGTGAATGACAGATATTGTGAAAACTATAATATACTTAAAGAGTTTCCAAAAATGATTGTGCACAACGTGACTGTATATAACAAATTTCGTAGTTGCTTTAAATAAGTGTGCAACATTATACTTGCCATAATCCAATACAAGCATTATGTTTCATAAATATTAATATCAGAGATCTATTTCAGTATATATATACTTAATAATTATTAGATATAATAAATTCATTTTAGTGTATTTTTAATTTTTATATAAAGATACAATATCAGGCAACAAAAAAATAAATATTCCGGACGCGGTAAAAACTGATGCATATGATAAGGATAAAATACTAACTAAAAAAATTAAATCATGTAATCAACTTGGCATCCAATAACTGATATAATTTTAATTGAAAGTTGAATAGAAAAAATTAAAAACAGAAAAGAATTACCTGTTGCTTGCAGTTTGTCTGTCATATCAAATATAAATCTGCTAACCAACTAAATAGATAGCACAGCTGAAAAAAAAAACCCATTGAAATCACGCTATTCTTTTTATTGCAAGTACGATTTTTGCGCTATAATTTGATAGCTAAAGCAATTGTGTTTCAACGATTGTCATTAAAAAAGCAAACACCAAACTAAAAGTAATGCAATGCAAATGTCATAAGCAGAAAAGCTATGCAATGAAATTTGTAAACGAAATGTTGTAGAGGAAGAAATTAATGAAAGGTTTATTTATGCATTTAAGGGAACTGTATTAAGCAAAATGATGCAATAAGAGGGAGCAAATATGACTTCTCAAGTAGTTTTAGATGGGATGAAAATAAATGAATCCGATAATAAGCCTTTAAAGGCATTTCACTTACAATCAACGAATTTCTAATTTATTATTACTCATCAATATGATAATGCGATAATACTTTTCACATATACTACTATAATATACTGTTAAGATAATGTACACTTATCACAGTGATATAAAAGCAACAAATACAGTACTGTTGATTGAAAAAAGCAAAAGTAAAGTATATTAATGAATGAAAAAGACAGAGATGAGCTGAGTGAAAAAGCTCACACGAATAAATTATGCTCGGAGTGATTAACAAGTGAACAAAATTTGGATGGCATAATGAGGAGGAATGAATATGCGAATCTCTTACTCTGATAGAATAGTAAGGGTTTAAATTAGAGTAGATTGGGAGAATGTTTGGAAATGAAATGTATGCAAGAGATGCACGAGCTAACTAACTGAATACTTGCGTGAGTGGTTTCACATGCTTGTTACTGCTTGTTTACAAATCGTTAAAAAATGCAAAAAAAAACTTAACGTAAATGAATAAAAGAATAAGCCAACAAATCAAGTAACATTTCTACATCAGCTTATCTTTACGTTACAAAATTAGCCTCTCTGCTGAATAAACATTCGAATGTCTCTTAGCTGAATAAACATTCCAAGATATACACGTACACAACGTGAGTCAATTTTAATGACAGTGACTTACGTAGGAGTTCCCTTTTGTAGAAATGATGGAAATGATCATTGCTTGTTTTTTCATTAGCTTTAAATACATACAGTTCTGAAGACATGAAAGACTATCACGTGATTCTTAAGGTACTTTACACAAAAAGAATAAATGAGTTTAGTAAATAAGTCAACCGACAAATTTCTAAATGATTCAATAGATAGATCAGACAGAACATCCATCTTTTCACTTGTCCATTGTCTACCTAAAAAATGATAGACAGATAGAGATACAGATAGATAGATAGATAGATAAATGTATTAGGAGTTAGAAAAAAGTTATGCCTAATATTATTAACAAATTAATTAACTATGCTATCTCTTTCATGCACCAATCTATGCTAACATAGTATATAAGTAGTAGTAGTAGTAATAGTAGTAGTAGTAGTAGTAGTAGTAGTAGTAATAGAAGTAGTAGTAGTAGTAGTAATAGTGATGAACAAATTCATTCATCCATTAATGTGAATCTAATTTTAATTGTTGAGAAGGTCAAAGATTAATAAGATAGAGTGAAAATATTCATATTTAAATAGAAAAAAGAATAATTAACGCGAGTAGAGCATAATTTATTCTACTTTGCTCTTAGACCAAATGCCTGCCAGTGCTATTCTCAGGTAATTTTTCATTCTCTCTCACAAATATCATTCATTAGCCTTTCTCAATCAGAAGGAATTACTCACTCGCCTTCACTGTCTGTCAGTAATAAATTTACTCTGAGATCATTGCTCTTAGACAGATTTAAGCTAAACGAAGTAATCCCTTTTTCTTTCGCAGTACGTAAGCAAATATTCTAGAGAGAACAAGCGTTGAAGTGACATATATTGCGGCAGTATTGCATCATTATGATGAAATATGGCGTTGATATGATGAAATATACATGTAGAATCTCATCATCCTTCATTGTTCCATTATTACGTGACAATTTTTATCATTGATTACTTGAGCTAGAATCTTAGTAAAAAAAAATCTCACGTTTGCTATATTTCTCCTTACATTTATCTATTTATTTGTAAAAATTTATGCAATCATTTTATAACTAGCAAATATACTACGCTTAAGATTTTTTGTTCAGTTGTTGGGTGCACATAAAAAATGGGCCCAAAGTGAGCAGTGATGAAGAAATCACTTGCTTATATTATTTATTTAATCAAATAAGAGATGCTTTAATTAACAAATTCGTTTACTGTTTTCAATGTGTTGTTTATATGCATATGAAAAAATGAATATATTTGCATTTTTGAGATCAATTACACCAAAAAAGGCTACATTTGTCAATGAAAATTTAAATGTTTGTAGAACTTATATGCAAAGATTCGTAATTTTTTATGTAAATGTAGTCACATGTGGCTGATTTTTTGGAAATTTGCATATTATTAAAAAACGTTTGAGGTGGGGTAGAAGGAAAAATTTATGAGAACAATTAAATAAGAAGTGAAGAAGTGCTAGGGTTGAAGATTTTTCTTTATTGTAAAATGGGGAAACAATTGGAGCTTTTGATTGCATTTTATACTTGTATTTGTTGTTATTTTAAAAAACTGGAAAGTTGGCTGATTTATTTGTTTTTAGTCGTATTTTCGCTTTTATGTGATAAAGTAAGTTCGTTTACTTTTTCATCAAAGATTAAAAAGTGCAGGACGTGTTGTATTTTCATGCATGTTTTTTTTACTAGTCTAAGTGCTTTTGTAAGCGTATACTTGTCATTTATCTACGACTTTCAACTCAATTTCAAAAGCAATTCAGTGCTGAAAGTGCTAAATAAAAAGTACGCAGCATCACTTCACTCAACCTTCTATATCAACAGAACTGCTTGCAGTGTATATTAATGGTAACTATTACTTGTTTTTTACCTGAATTCCATGTAAAAGAATTTTTGTATTCGACAGTATGTAGCAAATTAATCATTAAAAGCTAATTATATTGCAAATTTGACTTTTTCCGACGTTTTCATCTACTAAAGTCAACTTTTTAATTGTTTACTCAACTGACAAGCAGATAAAATACTGAAAAATTTGATAAAACCCCTCTCTTCTCATTTTCACACAAAAAGTCTTAAAATATAAATAAGTGAGAAAAAAATATCATTGCACAAATGGTACTTCAAATATGTGTTTTGTAATATGAAAAATAAATAATACAATGATATCGCATGACCAATTTTTTGCCAACATTTTCTCTTATCAAAAAAATGAAAAATTATCACATATGAAAGTGAAATTATTTGTTTCAACTCTTTCTTTTGTCTTCTTACATTTTCTGATTGTGCATTTGATTACCAATTATGAAAAATTTTTTACTCGTTCTTTGAAGTTGAAAATAAAAGATGAAATAGAAGAAGCAAGAGAAAGTTCAAAAATATTCAAATTCGAATTACAAAAATAGCAAAAAATTATGATAGCAGTTGAATAATACAAGCATGAAAAGTGTAGTGAATACATGAGAGATGAAATTATTATATATTAATATATAGCGCAGGCGGTATGTAATTTCTGATCATTTCAGAGATTAATAATAAATTCGTTTTCATATAAATTCAAATATATGTAAAAGAGTCAGTGATGATAGTAAACAAATGAACAATTGTTATTACTAAAAGCAAATATTCTTTCATCCTCTCCACTTACATTTAAGTGTTACTTTTATATAGCACATTTTGTCATTATCAAAATTTGCTTAAATGTAAGTAAAGATCAAGAATCAAATAACTTTTGCCTTTTG